GGATTGTGTGTTAAGCTTAGACAAATACTGTGTCTTACAATGGGTGGATGGTTATAGAGAACTCTTATTTAATTCAATAAAACTCAAGTTTCTATCATAACAAGGGCAAGTGTAAGGAAAAACTAACTATAGAACAACATTTTCAGCTGGCAATTTTTGTTTATTCAAAAAGCACAATGAGCAAAAATAAATCATGAATGCTTCATCTAAAGGTGATGATACATCACAACAACAACAACTTGTAGATTTCTACAAGACACTGTACTCACAGAGAGTAGAGGGACAACCGTCTTTACAAAAGACACACAATTTACACTTTTTGAGGGAACAGTAAAACATTCACTGTTGGCTAACAAACATGTTTTTATAAAAACTGACCTTACAACTGGTCACGTCGTTTTAATAATCAATAGATTTTTTAAATGTAAGATTGTCAGAGTAAAACTGTGACAATGTTACATTTAACAAACCCTTCATTATGAAAGAATAACATATTAATCTTAAAACAGAACAATTGTCAATTATCACAGAAAGTGAGGGAAGGTCCAAATATGTCCATAAAAAGGACAATTAATATCTTTGATCAATCAAAGAGATACAAAAAACAATTCTCCATGTAGTTAGTATATTGGACAACACACAAGGTGTAGTGAGACATAAAAGTATCACAGGAAAAGTGTGACATTTAAGAAAACCTTTTGGAAAACAAGGATAAACAATTCGATCTTTCAACAGATCAGCTCTGAGTTATCAGAGAAATTAAGTCAATTATGAGTAAGTCCTAAAAATGGACAGGAAGTCTTTGTTCACTATGATCAATAACAATCAAAAGATACTAAATGCATTAAACTATATACGACCAATACTTGATGTACAGTGAGGTATATCAATGTCTGTTGCATTCAGATTTGTTCTTGCAACATGCATGACAAGATGTTCTCTTTCTTAACTTGACATGTAAGAACAGTTCAAGTTTCTGATCAAAATGATCAACAACAATTAGAGGATTACAAATGTAACCATAGCGTTGTAATCTGCCATTACATGAAGTACATTGTATTATAATGATAATTGCAAATTCAATCAGATTTGGTTCATGCAACATGCATGACAAGATGTTCTCTTTCTTAAATTGAAAGATATAGTTGTTGTCATTTCCTCAGGACATGTCATCTTGCATAAAGAAAATGAACAAATCCAACCTTCTGTACAAACAGAAGAAGAAGTTCATAGTATTTCAGAATTCAGAAGAATTCACTTCCACTAATCTTTGACCAATATGGTCATCTCAGTTTGTCTGGTAGTAACTCCAGTCTGTAGGGGTCTACCACGGCCTCCAGGGGGCGCTGTTGACTGGACTCTTCTCTTTGTTGATGCTGGTCTGGACTGTGGAGCTCAGCAGAGAGAAGTCAGCCTCTCTCAGGTTCTTATCAGAGGAACACTGCATCTTGTTGACGTGGTTCAGCAGTCTTCTCTGCTTTTCATTCTGCTGCTGCAGTCGTCTCAGGACACAAACTGTCATCTCCAGGATGTCTGCTTTCTCCAGCTTGGAGTCTGGCTGCTGTTTGAGGAACTCTGGACCCAGGAGAAACTTGATCTGCTCAATGCTGATGTTGATTCGCTCTCTGCGTAACTTCTCCACCAGAGGCTTTCTGAGCTGCAGAAAGAAGAAAAAAGTCATTAATAATCTTATTCTGGAGTTTAGATTTGGCATGAACAAAGACAATATCTGAATGACAATATTGAAATCTTGAATTTACCTTGTGGGTCAGAGTGTGAGGCTCCTGAGAGTTGGTCATTGCTGCAGTGATTGTAGGTGCCATGTCTGGATCTCTGTGCTGTAGAGGTCTCTGTAGAGAGAATCTGATCTCTGCTGGCTTCATCCCTCCTATTTATAGTCCCACATCTCCATATGAATGTGTGGGTCTGGGTCTGACTGCACTTTCTCACAGTCTCAGCCAATCAGAAAGCACTGTTTGACAATAAGGGGTTCAGCAACTCAATAGTCTTATTGCCCTGGGGACAATGGTTAAATCCCAGGGGAACAGGTGGAGGACTGGGGGGGTGATGGAGAGAGACACACAGAGCTCTGTGTGAATCTGGGAAAGTGGTGACCCTGTAGAGAGCAGATCTGCTGCCTGATGCTGGGATCAATGACTTTGACTGAGCACACGCTCATCATCTCATCACACTCATAAGGGAAAACTATTTACTGTGTATATTTAAATTAGAGCTGGGATAAGCTAAAGTGTAAAAGCTAAGTGATATTTCATATTTGTCAGCGCTTTCATTCACAAAAAAATGATACATTGAACTGTTAAACACACTCCATTTTATATTGATGATTTAATTTGATATGTCATTATATATTTTTTTCATCATAAAAAATATCCTCAAATCTCTACATTCATTTTATTGCAAACAGGCAAAAAAATATGTAAGAAAATAGTGTGATGCCCATTCATGTTACTTGAACTAAACCCACCCTAATAATCATGCATCTGTCCAGATGTGGTCTTTTGACACGTGCCTTGTAGTCAGCCTGAGTAGCATGTTGAGCTCAGTTTCCCACACTGACTCCCTGTATGGTGTGGTCAATGCTCCACAAAGGGACTCCTCTGACAGATGCTGGCTGTGTGTTGTTACAGAAACTGAGTCTGACATCACCAGCCATCTGGAGGGAAAGGACGCCATTGGCTGACTTGTAGTGTTCGAAATGTTGGTTGAAAAAAACGTCCCCTAATTATCATCCTAATTAATCACTATTTTATATTTTGAGGCGCCGATCATTGGCATATTTTTAGAACTTTCATTAATTATCATGTTTTATTGCTGATCAATAACTTGATCAGAACTAGTTCTCTATACATGAATGTGGGAGGTCTCCTGGTGGGCAGCTGTTTCCTAAAGTGTGCCAAATCCCTTTGGAGAATTACTTGGCTGCTGGTGGAGTGGGTGGACGTCGTTCACCCTCAACTCTGTCCTCCAGCGTTTTCCCACACTCCCTCTCTTTGCTGTGAATAGGCATGTGCCCCTCTACAGATGGACCTTTGGAAGACCTTGTGCACTTGCGTCTGTGAGGCCCCCCTTAAAGATAATTAACCATAAAAGTGAATAGATTGTACTTGACATCAAAGGAAACCAGAAAAGATAACTTCTGAAGATAGTGCAGTGTTAATGTTTAATGTTAAAACATTATATGGAAGAAACGAAAGTCGTATTAGTTTGAGAAAGTACCATGTCTCGTCAACGGTCTACAATTTAAACAATTAAGTGAAGTAGTTTTTAAGAAATAAATCTATAAGTAGCAGCTTTCATTAAATATCTACATTGAGAGATGTGAAACTAAACACATTGCAAATATAGCCGCTTAAGAGGAACAACTAACAGTGAGAAGAACATCGGCTGTGAACCCTTCCAGACACGTTGTTGTAATGCCGTCACTATTATGAAGTCATATAATAATCTGTACAACAATCTTTTATTCTCCTAAACATTTTAAATCTATTAACATTATTTAGGTGGAAGCTTTTCAATAATCTCAGTGAGATGTAAAGCATCTTAAAGCCTTGTATATAGTTTATCATTTCTGTAATGATTTTTATTTGTTAATTGTGCAAAATCAACTAAAAGTGTCTTATTTAGCCTCTCATTAGAAACATCTGACTTCTTTAAAGAGAACATTGTTAAACCTTTAGGTGTTATCATTATAACACCTATAACCGACAATAATCAAAACACATGGTGCAGAAAGTGTTTTAGTTTGTTGTCACATTTAGTCTGATGACTTGACTAACTCCATGTAAACATTGATATTGTATTAAAGATCCTTCACTAAAGTCATCGATTGAACCACATTCATATGCTTAAGTTTAAACTTAGCAGGTGTTATGAATAATGAACTACTGTTTTTGAAATGTAGTTTTATTCATCAATTAAGGGTAAAAACTGTTGAAAAGTAAAAACAATGAGAACACAACATTTTCAATTGGCAGTGTTTGTTTATTCAACAAGGCACAATCAACAACCTAAATATGAAAGCCCAATAGAGGTGATGATACAGCACAACAACAACTTGTATTTTCTACAAGACATGGTACTCACACAGAGTAGAGGAACAACCGTCTTTATAAAAGACAAGCGAATAACAATATTTGAGGACACAGTACTCAATTTCAATTGCAATTTTGATCAAAACAAAATTGTAAAAACTGACCTTGCAACAGGTCAAATCCTTTTTTATAACCATTAAATAATATTGAATGATTAAATATTAGGACAATATTGCCACTGTAAAACTGTCACATTGTGACATTAAACACACCTTTTATAAATAAAAGGAGAACAATGTAGAATCTAACACAGATAATGTTTTATACATAAAGTGAGGAAAAGTCCTCTATAATAAAATGTCAGTTACGTTTCTTTTAATCTAAACAATCAAAAGACAACAAATATTCACATTTCATACATTCACCAACACATGGCGTGCAGTGAGTAGTAAACTAATCACAGAACAATTGTGATATTAAACAAACCTTTTACAAGTAAGGATAAATATTTGGATCTTGCAACAGATCAGTTTTGAGCAATTATCATCAAAACAAAGTTGTTGTGAAAATATTTCCATAAAAAGAATAGGCAACGTTTCTGATCAAAATGATCAATAACAACCAAAAGATTACACACATTTAACCATAGCACTGTAATCTGCCAAAACAAGAAGTACAGTGTATTCAAATTATAATTGCAAATGCAATCAGATTTGGTTCATGCAACATGCATGACAAGATGTTCTCTTTCTTAAATTGAAAGATATAGTTGTTGTCATTTCCTCAGGACATGTCATCTTGCATAAAGAAAATGAACAAATCCAACCTTCTGTACAAACAGAAGAAGAAGTTCATAACATTTCAGAATTCAGAAGAATTCACTTCCAGTAATCTTTGACCAATATGGTCATCTCAGTTTGTCTGGTAGTAACTCCAGTCTGTAGGGGTCTACCACGGCCTCCAGGGGGCGCTGTTGACTGGACTCTTCTCTTTGGTGATGCTGGTCTGGACTGTGGAGCTCAGCAGAGAGAAGTCAGCCTCTCTCAGGTTCTTATCAGAGGAACACTGCATCTTGTTGACGTGGTTCAGCAGTCTTCTCTGCTTTTCATTCTGCTGCTGCAGTCGTCTCAGGACACAAACTGTCATCTCCAGGATGTCTGCTTTCTCCAGCTTGGAGTCTGGCTGCTGTTTGAGGAACTCTGGACCCAGGAGAGACTTGATCTGCTCAATGCTGATGTTGATTCGCTCTCTGCGTAACTTCTCCACCAGAGGCTTTTTGAGCTGCAGAAAGAAAAAGGAAGTCATTAATAATCTTATGGAATTTAGATTTGGCATGAACAAAGACAACATCTGAATGACAATAATTTGAAATCTTCTTGAATCTTGAATTTACCTTGTGGGTCAGAGTGTGAGGCTCCTGAGAGTTGGTCATTGCTGCAGTGATTGTAGGTGCCATGTCTGGATCTCTGTGCTGTAGAGGTCTCTGTAGAGAGAATCTGATCTCTGCTGGCTTCATCCCTCCTATTTATAGTCCCACATCTCCATATGAATGTGTGGGTCTGGGTCACACTGCACTTTCTCACAGTCTCAGCCAATCAGAAAGCTTGGTGACACAATAAATGATGCCACATGCCTGATGGTTTTATTGAAATGAGGGCAATGGTTAGATCCCAGGGGAACAGGTGGAGGACTGGGGGGGTGATGGAGAGAGACTCACAGAGCTCTGTGTGAATCTGGGAAAGTGGTGACCCTGTAGAGAGCAGATCTGCTGCCTGATGCTGGGATCAATGACTTTGACTGAGCACACGCTCATCATCTCATCACACACGTGGGACACAAAAATTAATTTCATCTTTGCTTAAATTGTCTGTATAAATGTTTAAATACACTCAATAATTAGTAGAAATATATATTTGCATTATCACTTTAAGTGCCACTCATGTAGTTTATCCTCACTTTTATTTATTATAAAATCAGATACAATTGTCCTTTAATACATTTTCTTAAACTTTTACAATAATAAAACATCTATATTACAAACTGAATTATGTTATGTTATAATAAGACTTAAGTACACACTGACATGCTTATCTCCAGATGTAGCACACTCTCTTGACTTATGTGGGTAGAAAGTTGGTCTCAGTTTCCCACTGACTCTGAATGCTGTGGTCACTGAACAACAAAAGGTCTTTGAATGGAGCCTTTGTGACTGATACTGGACGTGTGTGGTGGTAGAAACAGAGCCGGACGTCACCCACCATCTGGAGGGAAACCACGCCATTGGCTGGCTTTTTAATGATGAGTCCACTACATTTATTTCTAAAATGATAAGGATAACTTTTATTAATCATTGAAACATTTAGACCTTGATCAACATTGTATTTGATCATTAGCAACTTGTTCAAGAGTTCTGCTTTTTAGATGAGTTTGGGAGGTTGAAGCAGCTGCTTCCTGAAGTGTGCCAAATCCCTTTAGAGAATAATCTGCTGCTTGTGGGATTTAGGTCGATAATCATGCTAAACTGTGATCTCCTGAGATTTCCCACACTCTGTCTATTAACACAAATTATTCTGTTTGACCAAAACCACACCGATGTATTGATTGTCCATTTTACACTTGGACCATTAGATCATTCATTATGTGTATACTAATTCACCTTACTTGTACAACTCAAACATAAATATTTCCATTCGTATATAATGTCAAAAGTGTAGGTGTTGTAAACCTTGGCGGATATCACATACCATCAGTCATTCATAATAAAATAGTCCTGTATAGTTCATGTAAACCATAAACCCTGAGGTCAACATCTGATACTTGGCTGTGGTCATCATTTGTCTAAAAAACAGCGACCTGTTGGTAATCAAAGTAAACAGTGTTCTGTTTTCCAGTGACTTGTAATCGGTTGCAAAGTAGAACAACATAGTCATCCTGAGACAAGACCAATATTTTGTACTTTAAATTCTCAAAAACAATCTAGTTTTACAAGTAGGCTCACTAACAGACTCTTATACAGTACAAAAGGCTTTGTCAAGCAGTTTTTATCGTGGTAGGAAAAACTTCACTTAGATATTAATCTATGATATTAAACAGATTAAGAATGTAGCATTTCTGAGATCCAGAGTGTTTTGAATCTGTCTCTATAGGGCACAGATCTTTTGTCCCACAGGGCTCTGTGAGTGAGGTTCCTCTGGTTTCCCACACGCTGTCCTTTCACTGGAGGAACAATAGAAGTGTGCCTCATTATGCATCACATCAGATACAATGTCTTCTGTCTCTGAAGTAGAAACGTTTTCATTTACATTTTTTACATTAAACAATCACACTTTACAGTTCATAAAAAAACGTTCTTTCCGCCAATAATATTTTAGAATATACATTGTCTCATTCAGTTGATGACTTTAGCAAAAACTGACCTAATTTCATGAATAATCTGAGTGAAACCAGCTGAAAATGTACCGGTATGGTGCAGCAGTTAGCACTGTAACTCAGTGAAAGGGTTCTAGGTCTGAACCTGCTGAAACTTTTATTTGAAGAGATGTATTGTTCTCCCTGTAGGTTCATGAGTTTCCTCAAAGGTCTCTGTCTTCCTCCCCCAGCTCGAAGACATGCAGTCTAATTTAACAAGCAACTCTAAATTACCCAAATGTGTTAATAGTTACCAACCCAGCGACATCTATGCAAAGTGGTTATAAGTGATGGATGGATTGTGTGTTAAGCTTAGACAAATACTGTGTCTTACAATGGGTGGATGGTTATAGAGAACTCTTATTTAATTCAATAAAACTCAAGTTTCTATCATAACAAGGGCAAGTGTAAGGAAAAACTAACTATAGAACAACATTTTCAGCTGGCAATTTTTGTTTATTCAAAAAGCACAATGAGCAAAAATAAATCATGAATGCTTCATCCAAAGGTGATGATACATCACAACAACAACAACTTGTAGATTTCTACAAGACACTGTACTCACAGAGAGTAGAGGGACAACCGTCTTTACAAAAGACACACAATTTACACTTTTTGAGGGAACAGTAAAACATTCACTGTTGGCTAACAAACATGTTTTTATAAAAACTGACCTTACAACTGGTCACGTCGTTTTAATAATCAATAGATTTTTTAAATGTAAGATTGCCAGAGTAAAACTGTGACAATGTTACATTTAACAAACCCTTCATTATGAAAGAATAACATATTAATCTTAAAACAGAACAATTGTCAATTATCACAGAAAGTGAGGGAAGGTCCAAATATGTCCATAAAAAGGACAATTAATATCTTTGATCAATCAAAGAGATACAAAAAACAATTCTCCATGTAGTTAGTATATTGGACAACACACAAGGTGTAGTGAGACATAAAAGTATCACAGGAAAAGTGTGACATTAAGAAAACCTTTTGGAAAACAAGGATAAACAATTCGATCTTTCAACAGATCAGCTCTGAGTTATCAGAGAAATTAAGTCAATTATGAGTAAGTCCTAAAAATGGACAGGAAGTCTTTGTTCACTATGATCAATAACAATCAAAAGATACTAAATGCATTAAACTATATACGACCAATACTTGATGTACAGTGAGGTATATCAATGTCTGTTGCATTCAGATTTGTTCTTGCAACATGCATGACAAGATGTTCTCTTTCTTAACTTGACATGTAAGAACAGTTAAAGTTTCTGATCAAAATGATCAACAACAATTAGAAGATTACAAATGTAACCATAGCGCTGTAATCTGCCATTACATGAAGTACATTGTATTATAATGATAATTGCAAATTCAATCAGATTTGGTTCATGCAACATGCATGACAAGATGTTCTCTTTCTTAAATTGAAAGATATAGTTGTTGTCATTTCCTCAGGACATGTCATCTTGCATAAAGAAAATGAACAAAACCAACCTTCTGTACAAACAGAAGAAGAAGTTCATAGTATTTCAGAATTCAGAAGAATTCACTTCCAGTAATCTTTGACCAATATGGTCATCTCAGTTTGTCTGGTAGTAACTCCAGTCTGTAGGGGTCTACCACGGCCTCCAGGGGGCGCTGTTGACTGGACTCTTCTCTTTGGTGATGCTGGTCTGGACTGTGGAGCTCAGCAGAGAGAAGTCAGCCTCTCTCAGGTTCTTATCAGAGGAACACTGCATCTTGTTGACGTGGTTCAGCAGTCTTCTCTGCTTTTCATTCTGCTGCTGCAGTCGTCTCAGGACACAAACTGTCATCTCCAGGATGTCTGCTTTCTCCAGCTTGGAGTCTGGCTGCTGTTTGAGGAACTCTGGACCCAGGAGAGACTTGATCTGCTCAATGCTGATGTTGATTCGCTCTCTGCGTAACTTCTCCACCAGAGGCTTTTTGAGCTGCAGAAAGAAAAAAAAAGTCATTAATAATCTTATACTGGAATTTAGATTTGGCATGAGCAAAGACAACATCTGAATGACAATATTGAAATCTTGTTGAATCTTGAATTTACCTTGTGGGTCAGAGTGTGAGGCTCCTGAGAGTTGGTCATTGCTGCAGTGATTGTAGGTGCCATGTCTGGATCTCTGTGCTGTAGAGGTCTCTGTAGAGAGAATCTGATCTCTGCTGGCTTCATCCCTCCTATTTATAGTCCCACATCTCCATATGAATGTGTGGGTCTGGGTCTGACTGCACTTTCTCACAGTCTCAGCCAATCAGAGAGCTCAGAGAGACAATAAGGGGTGTTGCACACTTAATGCTGTTATTGCCCGAGGGACAATGGTTAGATCCCGGGGAACAGGTGGGGGACTGGGGGGTGATGGAGAGAGACTCACAGAGCTCTGTGTGAATCTGGGAAAGTGGTGACCCTGTAGAGAGCAGATCTGCTGCCTGATGCTGGGATCAATGACTTTGACTGAACACACGCTCATCATCTCATCACACTCATAAGGGAAAACTATTTACTGTGTATATTTAAATTAGAGCTGGGATAAAGTACGTATAAAAGCTAAGCGATATTTCATATTGGTCAATTCATTCACTAAAAAAAAAAATATTTAACTGTTATAACACTCCATTTTATATTGATTTGATTGAAAAAAATGATATAATCTCTTCATTTTTTTGCAAACAGAACTAAAAGATGTTATAAAGTAGTGTGATGCCCATTCTTGTTACTTGAACTAAACCCACCCTAATAATCATGCATCTGGTCTTTTGACACGTGCCTTGTAGTCAGCCTGAGTAGCATGTTGAGCTCAGTTTCCCACACTGACTCCCTGTATGGTGTGGTCAATGCTCCACAAAGGGACTCCTCTGACAGATGCTGGCTGTGTGTTGTTACAGAAACTGAGTCTGACATCACCAGCCATCTGGAGGGAAAGGACGCCATTGGCTGCTTGTAGTGTTTGAAATTTGGGTTGAAAAAACATCATCTATGTAAGTATCGCCTAAATTAATCAGCATTTCATATTTTGAGTCGCAGTTCACAGTCATACATTTCGAACCTGTATTAATTATCATGCTTTATTGCTGATCAGAACTAGTTCTCTATACATGAATGTGGGAGGTCTCCTGGTGGGCAGCTGTTTCCTGAAGTGTGCCAAATCCCTTTGGAGAATTAATTATTGGCTGCTGGTGGAGTGGGTGGACGTCGTTCACACTCAACTCTGTCCTCCAGAGTTTTAGTAGTAGTATTAGTGTATTTGTCCCCGAGGGGAAAATGGGTTGCAGCACATCACAAAGGCATTTAAAAAGATAAGACAATACGTCACTGACAACAACATAGACACAGATTAAAACGAACAGACATAAGAAAAACAGATATCGGCAGACATGACAAGGGGCCTAGGCCCTCATTTGCGAAAGGGGGGGGGGACTGGGCCAGACCAGCTGGGTAAACAGTGCGTCCTAGCCATCATTGATTCAGGAGTTTGATGGCTTGTGGGATGAAAGACAGCCTAGATCTGTGCTTTTTGAACAGAGGGGCACGATATCTCCGCCCGGATGGCAACAGTTCAAAGTAAGAGGCAAGTGGGTGCCTCAGGTCACTCACAATATTGTGTGCCCATTTTAAAACTCTGTCCTTGTATAAGCATTCTATATTAGCAAATGAGATTCCTGTCAATTTACTGGACAATATTATGGCCCTCCTGACTGACTTTTTCTGTGCCTCAGTGGCGTTGCCGAACCAGCATATAATGCTGAAGGAGAGCACACTTTCAATAAAAGCATGATAAAACATCTTAACCATTCTGTTGCCGACATTAAAAGACAATCATTTACGTAAAAAAAACATTCTTTGTTGAGACTTGGCATTTACTTTCTCAGACCAAACATCCCACCTGAGCTTGTGGTCAAGCACGACACCAAGATATTTGTACTCAGTAACACATTGAATGGGCTCGCTATTTAAAAGAGTAGGGTTGGTCGATTGTGCTATTCTAAAATCAATTTCCATCTCCTTTGTTTTTGAGGTGTTTAGAAGCACGTTTGACTTCTCACACCAGTTAATAAAGAAGTTTTCCCACACTCCCTCTCTTTGCTGTTGTTACGGCTGCTGTTTCTGTCTGCTCGTTAACCTGTCTGAGATTGTTTGCAGCTGTGTGTAATATGTAAATGAGCTGTGTGGTTGCCCCAATGTCGTTGGCTGTCATCTCCTGGTCCTCCTCCGAAGACGCTGATTGGAGCACGCCGGGCCCGACGCTCTCCAATCCCCGTGCAATCCCAGAGCACACCTTCCGGAGATGACTACAAAGCCTGGGGACAATTATCACTCGGGAGTAGGGATGGGTACCGAGCCCCGGTATTAAACGGGCCCCGGGGCTGAATTATTAAAGACCGTGGTACCGTTAAGCTCCGACGTTATCGGTCTTTTTATCGGTACTGGAGACATCTAAAAAAGATGTCATGTGTATTATTGCTACATTACACAAACATTATATTGCAGTTTTAGTGTCGCCAACTCCGTTTCTAATACGCAAAAAGACTGCAAAATGCGTCATTTTTTGTATTTTCGATCTCTCCAATCCAGACGAGAGATCTCTCTCCCCCGCCTGTGTGCGAGGGGGCGGGGCAGTTTACACACACGCAGCTGCTACATGCAGCAACACACACACACGGAGGAGATGGCGGAGAGAACGCGCTCCGAGGTGTGGTTAAACTTTACCCGTCTCGCTCGTTGCCTAAAGTGCAATAAGAGTTTAGCATGTCAGGGCGGTAACACGAGCAATTTGTCTAAACATCTTGCAAAAGTGCACCACGTTCAGACGGAGAAATGCACCGGGTTCGACTGTCTCTCTAGTAGCTCTGTAGCCCCATCCACGAGTAACGTTTCCACGTCAGGTATATTATGTATGCTAGCAGCAACACACAGAGCTAACTCAATGATTCAAACATGGGTTAATGATTAGAGGGAACTGAGTTATTTAATTTGTTAAAGTTTCAGCCATTCTGTTCACAGTTCTGTCATCAGATTATTTAATATGATTTGTTAAAACGTTGTTGTTTCTGTTGATGTGAAATATTATGTATTTCATTTAAATAAAAAGCAATGTTAGTTTTGTTCACAATTTGTTAATTTTCATTTAATTGTTTATTTGAATAGGGACAATGCACATTAATGAACACTTTAGACAAATAATGCTTCAAGTGTAAATATGCCGGATTTTAGCTTTGAGCTAATTTCCATCCGTAGTCCCTGACATACAACATATAGTTAGTTTACCTAATTTTTCTCTCCAAAAGAACCGATAAGAGTACCGTTAAAAGACCGGACCGATAAGCGGTATCGATAAAAGTAGTAGTACCGTTAAAACCTTAACGATACCCATCCCTACTCGGGAGGCTCTGCTGCAATCAGACGCCTCACACATATTGCTCCTGTGTCGTGGACACTTCAGTTGAGCTATAGCCTGTGTTTGACATTTGTAATCCGTGTTTAGTATTGTGTGTTTAGCGTGTTTATATGTGTGCTTAGAGTAGCGTATTGATTTATGTGTTTAGAGTAGCGTGTGTTTAGTTTATATTGTTAGCTGCGTTTTCCTGCAGCCTCCTTCCAATAGAGATAATTGGAAGAGACCTCGGGTGTCTTAATTAGGCTCATTTTCAAGAGTCCTCCTGTTACCAGCAGTAGAACTGCGCCCTTTTGGCTTCTTTGTTTGGCTTAGGCTTCTTTTGACCTCATTTTGTTGTGCACCTTTGTTGTTGCTCATTAAATCCTATTATAATTACTTACCAAATCCATCTGGTGTATGTTATCTTACTCATCCCTAGTGGGTTCGTAACAGCTGTGAATAGGCATGTGCCCCTCTACAGATGGACCTTTGGAGGACCTTGTGCACTTGCATCTTTGAGGCCCGCCTTAAAGATAATTAACCATAAAAGTGAATAGATTGTACTTGACATCAAAGGAAACCAGAAAAGGTCACTTCTGAAGATAGTGCAGTGTTAATGTGGGGTGTGTGTGTGTGTGTGTGTGTGTGTGTGTGTGTGTGTGTGTGTGTGTGTGTGTGTGTGTGTGTGTGTGTGTGTGTGTGTGTGTGTGTACAAGATTTAGGGGATCTATGGGCAGCTGCTGATAATAACATCCATTATTATGGTTTACTAATAGTTATCACTTCACTTCCTCCTCCAGCACCTGGACACAGCAGGAACCTACGCCAGGATCCTGTTTGTGGACTTCAGCTCTGCCTTCAACACCATCATCCCAGCTCTGCTGCAGGACAAGCTCTCCCAGCTGCAGGTGGATCACAGACTTCCTGTCTGACAGGAAGCAGCACGTGAGGCTGGGGAAACACGTCTCTGACCATCAGCACCGGTTCCCCTCAAGGCTGCGTTCTTTCCCCTCTGCTCTTCTCCCTGTACACCAACAGCTGCACCTCCAGTCACCAGTCTGTCAAGCTCCTGAAGTTCAGACGACACCACGCTCATCGGACCCATCTCTGGTGGGGACGAGTCTGCCTACAGGTGTGAGATGGACCATCTGGTGACCTGGTGTGGGGAAAACCACCTGGAGCTCAACGCTCTCAAGACAGTGGAGATGGTTGTGGACTTTAGGAAGAACGCAGCCCCGCCCGCCCCCATCACTCTGTGTGGCTCACCATCACTCTGTGTGACTCCCCAGTCACTGCTGTGGAGTCTTTCCGCTTCCTGGGCACCATCATCGCCCAGGACCTCAAATGGGAGCAGAACAGCAGCTCCCTCATCAAAAAAGCCCAGCAGAGGATGTTCTTCCTGAGGCAGCTGAAGAAATTCAACCTGCCAAAGACGATGATGGTGAACTTCTACACCTCCATCATGGAGTCCATCCTCACCTCCTCCATCACCATCTGGTACGCTGCAGCCACAGCCAAGGATAAGGGCAGGCTGCAGCGTGTCATCCGCTCTGCAGAGAAGGTGATCGGCTGCAATCTGCCATCCCTCCACGACCTGCATGCCTCCAGGACCCTGAGGCGGGCAGGGAAGATAGTGGCCGACCCCTCCCACCCTGGACACAAACTGTTCACCCCCCTCCCCTCTGGCAGGAGGCTGCGCTCCATCAGGACCAATACCTCTCTCCATCAGGACCAAAACCTCTCTCCATCAGGACCAAAACCTCTCTCCATCAGGACCAAAACCTCTCTCCATCAGGACCAGAACCTCTCTCCATCAGGACCAAAACCTCTCTCCATCAGGACCAAAACCTCTCTCCATCAGGACCAGAACCTCTCTCCATCAGGACCAGAACCTCTCTCCATCAGGACCAGAACCTCTCTCCATCAGGACCAAAACCTCTCTCCATCAGGACCAGAACCTCTCCATGAGGACCAAAACCTCTCGCCACCAGGACCAAAACCTCTCGCCACCTCAACAAGGCCCCCCCACTGACACTTTACCTCATCCACAACGCAGACTCTATGCATTACATAATGGAGATCACAGGATGGTAAATAATGCAATGTTTAAATATTGCTTACTGCACATATTTTATATTCTATAATTTATTGCATTCTATTTCGATGTATATTACTGCTTTATTTTATTGCTATCTTACTATATTTTTATTACAGTGTTCTTAATATAGTTCGCTATCCGTGTACTTTTTTTTATTTAATTTTTTTTATTTATATGTGTATGTACGACACCTAGTCAAATTCCTCATACGTGTGAAAAACCTGTTTCTGATTCTGATCTTTTTGTCCTCTAGGTTGCACTGCCACGTCTACAGTAGCGCAGAATGGACAGAGGAAACATGATTGGGCCTCAAGTTTTTTGCAGCCAATATACATTCTACAAACTTGGGATAGGAGGGTGAGTGAACAAGTTATCCATTGGTTGGAACCTACATCCCCATTGTTAGACGTACTAAATCCTGCACACTGCTCCTTCAAATTGACAATGTGAACATATGTCGCCATTTTGTAATTTCTGTTATTTTCAGTTGAGAATGTTTCAAAGTACTCTTAAAAAATTCAACTTACTTTTTGTTTCTACTGTTTATAAGTATGATGTTTAAATATGAAATGCTGTATTCATTAGTTTTCATATTTTAAGTTTTCAGAGTAATTGTTTCCGACAGAACATTTTGTGATGTCTTTTCATTGAATGTCTTTGATTGGAAAATGTTAGAAAAAAGCTGTAAAATAACAGTATTCTACCTGTAGAACTTTAGGTTCTGTATTTATTTTAGTGTTTGATCATACAAATCTAATAAAAAAAAAAGTAAAAAACTGTTTTTCTCATCCGAACTTTATTTAAGGTATTTGAATGTAACATTTTAAGACAATGGATTTTGAAAAGAGAGGAAAGTTTCCTGTAAAATCGTTAAGGACAATTTCTGTATATTAATTGCTTTTGCACTTTATTTGAGTTAAAGTATTTTTACTTTAATTTTATGGTTTTTGTTTGGCAGCCGCTGCTGCCAGTACTTTGACCGTTTTTTTACAGGTTTTTTGCACGTTAAAGTATTAGTAATGTACTTTTATTAAAGGTTATTGACTGTAAAAAGAGAGGATAAATCTGTAAAATTAGAGTATTTGTACGTTAAAGTATTAGTAATGTACTTTTATTAAAGGTTATTGACTGTAAAAAGAGAGGATAAATCTGTAAAATTACAGTGTTTTCCTGTAAAATCTTTAAGGACAATTCCCGTAAATTAATGGCTTATTCACTTTATTTCAGTTAAAGTATTTTACTTTAATTTAAGGGTTTTTGTTTGGCAGCCGCTGCTGCCAGTACTTTGACCGTTTTTTTACGAGTTTTTTTTTTACAGTGTAGGTTAATACATCAACGAAGGGGTAAAAACGGTTGAAAAGTAAAAACATGAGAACACAACATTTTCAGCTGGCAGTGTTTGTTTATTCAACAAGGCACAATCAACAACCTAAATATGAAAGCCCAATAGAGGTGATAGGACAACATTGTCACTGTAAAACTGTGACATTGTGACATTAAACAAATATTTTATATGTAAAAGGAAAACAATGTTGACCTTAAAACAGATCCTTTTTTTCATACATAAAGTGAGGAAAATAAACAATCAAAAGATGACAAATATCTCATTCATTCACCAACAGATGGCGTGCAGTGAGTATTAAACTTATCACAGCAAATTGTGCTATAAACAAACCTTTTACAAATAAGGCTAAATATTTGGATCTTGCTACAGATCAGTTTTGAGTAATTATCATCAAAACAAAGTTGTTGTGAAAATATTTCCATAAAAAGAACAAATCAAAATGATCAATAACAACAAAAAGATTACACAAATGTAACCATAGCGCTGTAATCTGCCAAAAAATGAAGTACAGTGTATTCAAATTATAATTGCAAATTCAATCAGATTTGGTTCATGCAACATGCATGACAAGATGTTCTCTTTCTTAAATTGAAAGATATAGTTGTTGTCATTTCCTCAGGACATGTCATCTTGCATAAAGAAAATGAACAAAACCAACCTTCTGTACAAACAGAAGAAGAAGTTCTTAGTATTTCCGAATTCAGAAGAATTCACTTCCAGTAACCTTTGACCAATAGGGTCATCTCAGTTTGTCTGGTAGTAACTCCAGTCTGTAGGGGTCTACCACGGCCTCCAGGGGGCGCTGTTGTATGGACTCTTCTCTTTGGTGATGCTGGTCTGGACTGTGGAGCTCGTCCCACATCTCCATATGAATGTGTGGGTCTGGGTTTTGACCAATCACAGTGCTGGTCAAAAGAAGCAGGAATGCTGAGCTGCCACCTGCTCAGTGGTCATATTAGAAGGGGACAATGGTGAGATTTCAGAGGAACAGATGGAGGGTCGGATCAATGCTTTTAATGCATCACACAAGTGCATTGAACCATAACCATTACATACAGTCAGAGTAAAAGACTCACCAGATTGTAGGGTAAAAATTACTGGATGGATTACCAGTAACTAAATAAAACATTGGCGGGAAATATGTCTGGAGTGTTTACTTATTGGAAGTTATGGAACTGCAACTGGATATGTGCGTTTATTGAAAGTGTTATGCCTTAACTTTTTCACCAGAAATGACCAAGAATTATAAATTATATTTAGTTGTGATAACACCTCCTTCCTTCTCAACCTCTGTCTCTTGAGGGCAGAGGTCTTGATCCTGTGTCCCTTGGGGGGGATCAGTGGGTCACTTTCCTCCTCATTCCCACACTCTTGTCTGTTCCCTGTGTCTCATTGTGTGAGGCCAGGTGTGTGGCAAAATAACCCCACTGTGTTTGTTGACCACTGCATTTAAAAATGGTTATAAATCAATTACAGTTGTACGTAATGAAAAGACAATTATAATACATTTCTGTTTATTATACAGGTTTGTGTTTAATCCTGGCGGGAAGGTTAAGCATTGTATGCAAATCCAAAAAAGGATACCGTAAGCTACTTCCCCTTTAGGATTTTTAACATTTTGCACCTCATGAATTTATCATGTGATTTTGTGAAGTTTAAATGCATTGATCATTAGTAACCTCTCTGTTTTTAACTTAAAGTTTGGTAATATTATTATTAATTTGTTTTACATACAGCATCTATTCGAACCTTTGCGACACATGATTTAAAAAACTTAAAACGTCAATGACTTATGTAATGGTTAATAAATAAATGACCAATGTGTGCTAATGTATGTTCAACTGATGTTGGTTCACACCATTAGACCTATTCACATACTGCTCATGAATAATTTGGCTTTTACTGTTCATATCTGAACATTAGGACCTACCTAATGTCAGAAATGTTTTATTAACCTATTAATCAAAACACAAAAACACAGTGTCATAGCTAATTAAAATCTCTTTATTACAATCACATGTACATCATCATATTCCAAAAAGCTTGCTGTTGTGAAAAGTACCCTTGCACAGACAGATGGAGGTGGTGTTGCAGGCTGGATGGAGGGATTGTCAGATGGAGTGAAACAAGTGTTGAGATCCCCAGCAGCAAGTGTCTCCGCTCCAGTGTGCTTTTAATTTCACATCACATGAGGACAGCAGCGCTATTTTCAGCTATTAGTGTCCTTGTGTAACGTAAGCAAAGAGAGTGAAGGCGGGGGCGGGTGAAAAGGAAAAATTCTTTCTTCGTCATCCATTATTCAGACTCTTTGAGTCACAGCCGGGAGAGAGAGGGGAAATGTGGAAACATCAGATTCCACGTCTTTTCTCTCCGAGTGTTTTAAACAAACAGTTTGACATTTCTGTAAATTATCTTGTTTTCTGCCTTCTTTAGCTTAGAGGATGGATATCAGTTTCCTCTCTGTGATTCCTGTCTATGGAAGGGCCAAGGACGTGCTGAGGTCAGCACAAAGACTGCTAACCTAGCTCAGTCTTTCAAGAACTCCACAGCTGTCTCATTTAAACAAACAATTTGCTTACTTAATCCTAACTCTACCATGAGGAAAGAATATTCTGTCACTACGCCCAGCTTCGCCTGGTTACAGATCTCTGAGATTAATGTCTTATCACATCTCTGATGTTCGGATATTCAAATATGTCTGGTTTTGTTTAGGTCTTTTTTACTAATGGTATTTATACTTAACTGGGAAAGTATCCATGGTTACCATTTCCTGCTAAACATCACCATGTGAATTGTGAGCATGTTACCATGCTGATGCTCAAAGCACTGCCAGCATTGTTTAGTTTTTAATACAAATATGCTCCACTGTTTTTCAATACATCTGGTAATACCACCATTTTTTATATTGATACACATGTTTAATTATTAAGATTAAACATATAACACTGGCTGCTGTGAGTTTTTTGCCACTAGTATTCCTGCTTACCAATGCTAAACATGTATGGACCATCCCTGTATACCGTATTCCTATCCCCTATTCACAGAGATGAGACTGATATCCATCTAAATCATCTGACTCTGGAAAAGACAGAGAGAAAGAAGATTAATCTCAAATGTTGTAGTGCTCCTTTAGGCATTACAGTGTCAGTGAGCCTACTTATAATTCATGGATGCCACATTTAACATTCAGAACAAACTGAACTACTTTCCATGAACGTTGACCATATTGTGAGTGTTAAATGTACTAATACTACAATGTTAATCTCTGTGCTGTATGTACAGCCTCCATAACACAGCTACTGTTTAACCCTACAGAGTCACATGATAAACCACTGGAGGTGTCTGGTGGCACCAGCATGTCCTATTACTAACTCAAACCTCATCTGCACCTTCTGACAAAATCAATATGTACATGTCATAATGACACAAAACAACAATAAAATTCAATTTAGCCATTTAAAGAGACAATAATATTCACATTTTGTGTTTACTCTTTGAAAATGGTAAATCAAAGTTTCTTCAGCTTTTTAATAAATTAAGTAGATTTTAAAAGTCATAAAACATTGGTTTTGAAACCACCACAAGAAAAATATTGAAATATGTCCAACACAATGACAATGAACATATTTTTTCCTTCATAAATCACTATGATAGTTTATAAAGAAACATCAACACACAGTCGTTCTATCTACAGTCGTTTCACTGGCCTTAGTCCCTGGTACAGAAAGGTAGGGAAAATGTTTCGTATAAAAAATGATGTGCAAAAAGTTGTTTTCTTAGGTCCCTCTCATGGAAAACGATGTAAACAAATAATGTAAATATGTACATAACCGTTGCTCTTGACATTTTGATTCTAGGATTACTGTGCACTTGCGGTGACTCGTCATGTTTGTGCATCTGTTTGATTTAAACGAGTTACTGCATTTGATGGACACCTGACAGGAAGTGCACACAACAACACTGTCATTGTAAAAGTAGCTTGAGGTATTATTGCACATTTTCCCGAACTGCAGACTGGAATCAGTAGATTTCAGATTTACTCACACTGTACCTGCCTCTACTGGAATGTCAACACTGACTTGAGTGCTGTCTGTCCTGACTGTACAGATGCTGCAGCAGCCTGGACAAACTAACGTATAGTTGACTTGCAGTTTATCTTCTTTCTTTGAAATTGTCTCCACACAGTCAACGCATCACTTCAGATTTCAGTAAGCATGCATAAGCTGTTACCTGGGTAGGTAGATCTGTAAACATCCTGCCAACAGTAAAGACACCAGCAGGAACAGGGAGCCTTGTGCCATGAACAGAGAATCTTATGCTGCATTCATGCCATGTCGGCTGAAAAGTAATAATGACTTTTGTTAGTACGACATCTTACATTACGGTGCTTTCATTGAGAAAATATTTTAGATATATCATTTCATCTTCCATCAAATTATTACAACTCAGTGGTTGGCGTTAATGTGTTTTCCAAGTACAACAGTAGCTGATTTCATACATAAAAGCTGTGGTCGAATTTTTTTGTGTGACACATTGTTCCCCATCCCTGATCCACATGGTTTCACTAGTGTTTCACAACCTAGTAAACCCGGTTGCGTTTTTCATTTCCGTTACAAAAGCTCACTGGACTGATATTTGAATTGTAAACAGAGTTTCTATAAAAACCATTCAGGATTTTAATATCAAATCTCAGTTGTCATTGTCTGCATTGCTACAGTTGATGTGTTCTGTGGCTCTGATGTAAAAGTAGTCGTGTGTGATCGATCATTAGTGCACAGCCAGGTACATCACGCAGGACAGTATTGCTCCCCGAAATCTCATGGTCTGTTTGAATATTTCATTTTGTTTTTCATTTTGTCAAAGATTCTGTGAAATAAATGTAGCATAAGATGTAGCATGAAACCCATGATGCAAACATACACGCGTATCTGACCTTGTTAGTTTTTTTTGTCTTTACAAGCGTCATGCACTGACACACACATTTTGTTCCGAGTGCTGTACAGTGATCACACACCCACACATAAAGCTATCAGTTGAGGTGATGTAGTGAGTCTCTCACACATATTCATTAAAGGAACAGTTCCACATTTCTGTAAGTCGTCTTGTTTACTGCCATCCCCACAGTTATATGAGAAGATGATTATCAGTTTCGTCTTTGAGCTTTAAGTACAGAGAAGAAGAGGACCCTGTTGGACAATATTTCAAAAATACTCCAAAAATTATAGAGGCAGCAAGCTGAATAGCACACAGTGGCACTATGCTGTTGGTACGTACTTTATGGACAGTCATGTTTTGGGGTGGCATACTTGTACATACAACCATAGAGGGGTGATGTGCGGGACCTTTTAAAACTATCTGAAGTGCATGGCCAAGTACATTTAGGGTGTGCCCTACTCCACTTTTGTTATTTAAAAAGGTGTATAACCTGGGCGCAAATTAAGGTGCAAAGAGGTTGTATTAAGTCTCTTGTGCGACTTTGTGCAGGGTGTAAGAGAATCATTTTGTTTGAATTAGACAGGATAGGAGTTCGTTTATTTCTACAATAGATTAAGCTAGGCTTGAATTTCCTCCCTGCCACCTGCCTCTTTGCTTAGCTAGGCCATTTCCTGGAACTATATGTGTACAGGTCACACAGAAGAAACTGATATCAATCTAACCATTGAGTTTGAAAAGACAGAACAAGAGGAATCACTAAAATGTCGTCATGTTAGCTTGACATCACACTCACACAGAGTTATATTTAGACGTGGTGCCCATGCAGTTAGACGGTGGTGACCGTCAGCAGGGAGCTGGTACACAGCCTGTCCTCATTGTTCAGCCTGGTCCCATGAGTCAACAGCTCCTCTACTGTCGTCCAGTCATCCAAAAGCTTCCTGTTCCTCAGACGACTGAGCTTCCTCTGACTCAGCTCCAGCACCGTGTTGCACCTCCCTTCTGCAAAAGCTCCGCCTCCTCTGTTGTCCAGCATAGAGCCTTCTCCAACAGAGACTCCTCCTCCTCCAGCGATGGTTCCTCCCCTGACAATGGTGTCTCGTAAAGTCGCTCCTCTGGCCTGCATCTGCTGCTGCTTCTGCTCACGGGCCAACAGAAAGTGTTCCCTTCTCTCCATGCGACTCCAGTAACGACCCATGAGCATGTCGGTATTGGTCTCCTCGTCTGTGCTCATTCCACTGCGTTCATCCGCTAGCTGAGACGCCCGGTCTCTTAAGAGCTGGTTCCTGGAGACCCTAGAGGTTGTATTGGGTTTGGCGATTGGATTAGGTTTCAGCTGAATACCAGAACAGGGATTAGGGCTTGTATTCTCATTTATGTGTCCTTTCTTTGCATCCCATCCAACTGCACAGCCAGCCCCTGTGTGGCCCTCCAGCGTGCTGTAGAGACCTCTTCCTCCCCCGCCACCCTGAGACTGACGGTTGGCAGGTTTCGGCCAGGTGTCGTTGACGTCACCAGCCTGAGGAGGGTTGACTAAACTCTGCAGGTGCTGCTGCTCTCTGGCTCGGCTCCTCACCAGCTCCTGCTGCCTCTCTCTGTTCATCTCTTCCTGAATCTGTGCCTCCCTTTCTCTCTCCCTTTCCCTCTCTCTCTCCCTCTCCAGCTCTTTTTCATGAATTTGCCTCTGTTGTTCCAGTTCCCTCTTCATCTCTCTGTCCCTTTCTGCCACCAGTTGCTCTGGCATCATGTTTCTTTCTTGCGAGTGCCACCAGTCATGGTGAGCGATCTGTGCATTAGCGTTGTTGTCGTAGCATCGCTCATGGGTGTTGGCACTCCTGATATGCCCTAAAGCATTGGGGTGTTGTTGTGGTGGGAGGGCCAGGGTTGCTGGGTGAGAAGCCATCACACCAGCTACTAGCTCACCTTCCTCTCCAAGGCCCGGTGGCAGGACGTTATGTTGGGGCACACCTCCACAGTGATGCAGGGTTTCTGCACAGTAGGAGGGGGAAGATGGGTGGCTGGCCCGGCGGCGGTACTCCTGCGGAGGAGGGCGATGGTGCAGAGTTCTACTTCTTCTCAGCATACCTACTGAACTGGAGCCCTCGTGGTGCTGCTGCTGTATGGGTACCAGTGGTCTCCGGTGGCTGGAGGGGGTGCTGCAGGTGGAGAGGACTGGGGCATTCATTCGTGAGACTGCTGCATGGGCGTGGGAGGGGTTGAACAGAGCTCCACTGCTGGAGCTGTGACGGTTCAGACAGGGCCGGTCAGCTTTGTGGAACTGGACCGAGGAAACCCTGAAAATTCAAAAAGTAAAGTCAAAAAGCAGCATAAGAACATGTTGTAGGAAATAGTTAAATCAGAAAGAGTTCAATCTAAAAATACATTATCTTCAGATATGTCTATTTCAGAAGTTATTAAATTCTGGACTAATTTGTTTGGTGTTCTTCGTAGATTACAAAGAATATTAGCTTCAAACATACCAGAAAACCTTTTTAATAATTGATTTAGGATGAAGTAAATTGTGCTACACATGGTCTAGTTTAGACTGCTTTTTAAACCAAGAGATTACATTTAAAACTAGGGGAATAACCGACTGTTACTTTGGTAAAAAAACAATAATTTATAATTGAAGCAAATGCAGAAAAAGTCAACAAATTCCTAAAGGGTTACTGACATCTTATTTTTAGCTCCTCACTGTTGTTACTAAACCACTGACTGAGCCATGATTTCTTCTGGTATTGCCAACAGGTTATGAGTGTTTCCATAGAAACCTGGTGTTACGTGGCTACATTTTTAGGCTTTGAATAAGGATTTAAATTCAGATGCTGTTTGTTAAGAAATTAAATGTTTCTTGTCACACGTAACTGTAATTTTTTAGGGGCTTCTACCTGACAAGTCCTCGTGGTGGCAGATCCATGATGGACCCAGTGCCGTCCTCCATCTCGACCTGCAGGCGCTGACACTGAGGCTGCACGGTCAGCGCCTCAGGGATGGCCTCCAGCAGCTCCCGGTGGCTCTTGGGGCAGCTGTCACGCCGCTCCCGCCTCTCGCAGGCTTCGCCCTGATGCTGCAGCCTGGCGTTGTACAGCCGCATGCGCTTCTCCAGCAGCCTCTGGAAGTGCCTGAACTCCCCGGTGCTCACGCTGTAGAAGCCCGAGTCACTGAGCTCCGAGGAAATAAAGGACTCAGAGGAGGGAGAGCCGCCACCTCCGAAGCCCCCACACCCCCCTGGGGCGAGGGGCCCATGTGAATGGCAGTCCTCCAGGCCTCCCTCCTCAGTCTCCAGCCCGGAGAGGTCCCCCTGGTGGATGGAGCCATCAGTCCAGCCCAGACCGCTGTCCAGCTCATGGTGGAGGGGCATGAAGCCCAGCGGCTTCTCCATCATGAAGTCCTCGTCATCAGTCTGTAACAACACACATCTTGAGTCCAATGGTAAGATTCCCACAGCAATACACTAAATAACAGCATGCTTACATATTTGATCAGGATATAGTCCCCCCCGTACCTTTTAAGTGACTACTAAATGCGTCTGCAGCAGTATGAAACTGTCAAATATTGAAGGTCAATAAGTGACTCATAATCTATTTACTTATTCTTTGATCTAATTTTGCAGGACCTAAATATTTTTATTATTTTATAATGTATTCAGGCACATTCATGTTTTTGACCAACTGGACAACATTTAACATACAGACATACTGTAGACACAGAGCTTATTGATTTTTTGCTTGACAAGTTTGGCTTATTGGGTCCAAGACTAGCCTAAGTCATCCGTGGATGCTGTTATTCTTTGTTTTTTATTTCAACAACCAAAACAAATGCAACCTCAATTCCTGTCATTTCTTTTATTTCTACTGATAATGTTAAAGGTATTATTTTAGTGTCTGTTCTGAAACTCCAGTATCTTAATCGGCAGTTATTAAAATGACAACATAAGCTATTAGATATAAAGCATATACCTGACTTTGGAAGCCGTTCGGTTCCTCTAAGTTTGCATTGCAACATCCCATCAGGCAGTTCTGTCCCTTTTGTCCACGACCAGTCAGTTCTGGGTCCTGAGGGATCTATGATAAGAAACAAAGTAAATGAGAAACAATACGAAGCTTGTGTATGTTTATCGGTTCTTCATTTATTATTGATTGCAGGAATTCTTTGTCAAATTTGGACTAAACTGTTGCTGAGGCCAAAGTGACAACCAATATTTGTGTGCAGATTAATACAGTTCAATTTTAACATTTATATTCAATGTGTGTATTTCTGGTTCTTAGTGTCACCTTGTGGCTGATGTCCATTGTGTCCCGTGGGGAACTGGACAGGTAGCTGTACCGTCCTGCATCACAGTGATCTTGTGGCAGAGCAAGATGGCTGTAATAAAGTCTGAGAATGGAGACAAAAACACAGAATTAAGACCAAATTATTCATTTAGAATCCTCTTACTTATTACAACTTAATATCCTAATATACTGCTTTTGTCCATCCGATTGATCTAAATAACTCTTACGTACTACCTGCATTGCTGATTAGTGCACAAATTCTTGTAACATTGTACTGGTCTGTTCACAGAGCTGATTCCTGGTTTGGCTGTGACCTGATTTACTTGTTGTAGTTGTCGTTTAAACGACACAAACTTAAATACTTTACTGACTTTTTAGAAGATGTTTCAATTTCTAGACATTCATTGAAAATTGTATTTGTTTTTAAGCGGTTTGAATTGGCAGCTAACCGTTCTCCACAGTAGTCAGATCACTAAGCTTTTTTTTTATCCTTATCACAACATCTTTCTGTTTGTGTACCTGTCCTGGTAGGAGGGACTGGAGGCATTGTGCCCCGCCCCCATCATTGGGAGTGGCAGGTTAAGGTGCTGCAGGTTGAGGGGTAGAGGCTCCCAGATTCCCCTGTCTGCCTCGGTGCCACACCCCCTCTGACCCTTGATCTGCATGGTGATTGGACGCTGAGTGGCCGCCAGAATCCGCAGAGCATCGCGCTGGCTCAGGTTTGCAAGACTCCGCCCACTCAACTGAGAAAAACAGACAGGGTAAAAGAAGAATGGCATGTTAGCAAACAAAGTTGACATGATCCTCTTATTGAAGCCATGTTTGATTTCACGTCAAGAGTTAAAGTGCACTGTTCACTATCCAGTTTGTAACAACAGTAGGTGGCTGTAATGCTAATAAGCTGTGGCTGTGATTGCTATTTTCTAGGCAAGTGTATGGGCGGGGCCTAGATACAGCAGCTCCACCCCCTGATTACTAATCTAACTCTTTAAATTAAGTCACAGCACAAGATGGCTTTGCCCAAATATGGAATGTTGGCTTCAGCTTTGTACAGTAAAGACACGTCATCCATCTATTTATACAGTCTGTCACAAAAATAGATAAGGGATTTTTAACTATTTATGAGTCTGAGGTGCCAGAAAGACTTTTTTAAGTATTTCATTAAATAAGTCATAAAACTACTAGCTTAAAGACGCTAAAAAGCACCTTAAATATTTAGAGTATGTTCTCTGTGAATTCAAAAATACCACAAACGTACCGCCATTAGACATTTCTCAAGAAAACCCGTATGGAGAAAAACAATTCTGAATCTTTAATGGTATAAATGTGTCTTCTCATGGCAACTCTGTTGATTAATTTGATTTGTTATTCATTTAAAGCTGAGGTAGGCTACTTTGGAGACACTTTGCAAGTATACTAGATTTGAAAAGTAAACAAACTTCCCTTGAAAGCCATCCACCCAAAATACATTAAAGGGCATTGCTCAAGTTGATCAATACAAGAATTGTCCAATCGATCCGTAACAGGCAATTTCCAAAATCATAAGCAGGACGTATGTATGTCAATATTAAAAGTAATTAAATCCTAGACCTCCATAAAAGTATGTTAACTCCATGCACAAACAGTGAGGCTCATTAAACTGGCATTCTCTCTAATGTTACATTAAGTATGATTGTATAGTCTAGGTATGAAAAAATGACCCTAGTTCTCACTTGTTTTATGACCACCTCAGTAAACATTCTCCTAATGAATTTGTGGTTAGTTTGTGTTAAATATGTTAGACGATAAAGCAGGGTATGCTCTAGGTTTGGCTACCTTGTGATAGACAGACTGCTTGTTTTACGGTTTGGGCCCTCGTCCAAACACGTTTTCGTCTTACAACCCCCAAACTTTCACAGTGTGCTTACAGTTCTTCATAGTTAATTTAAGAATATTGGTCACCTAGAAATGTCCTAATCAGGGTTTAGTTGTTCTTTGCTCCACCATCTTGATGACAGTAACCCTGATGATTTCCTGGTGATATTGCCAGGGTAATGTCAGTTTGTGGCTGAAAGCCAACATAATTTCGCCTTTGCAGCACCACTGTCTTTAGAACTTTCCCTGGCAAGTTCAACAACTTAAATCACAAGTAATGCTTTGGTCCAGTTATGCAATGTGAGAAAACAGCATCACTGATACCACGATCAAATTTGAGCTATAACTCTATTTTAACTGCACTTTCAGTCCTTTTTTATAAGTGTGATCACAATACGGGATGAAAACTCTGTCTTACTTGACTTAATGCAACTAGGTCACAAAGCACAGCTCTGCCTGCAGACAGATGGTGGATTTTTTGCTATATAACAGTGGAATTTCTGGCGATTTAAATCAAACATGACGAATATGAACATGGTGTCCATGTTTCCAGTAAAGGGTTAACACCTACGAGCTATCATCAGTCTCATCCTGTTTCACACACGCACTCACATGCACACACATACATACACACACACAAACTCACACACATGCAGCTCAGCAGCATTCGAATTAGACGCATGAACAGTATTGTTACATCCAGCACATCACATCCATGAGTCACCCTCCGCTACATTCAACCAGGCACACATGTACACTCACAAAAACACACACACAGATAACATGAGCTGAGAAGTACAAAATGGCACCTGTGTGTGGATACAGAGGACAGCAGCTAAACGACTGTGAGCCGTCAGCAGATGTAGATGACAAAAATAAACCACATTCTCGCACAGGAGAAGACAATTCTCCATATTAAAACGTACACAAATAGACATGAAATGTTAAGATTTCAAGATGCATAAATTAGGTTTCATAATACACACACACAAATGCAGAGTCCTTGAAAAATCATAATATTAAGCCATTTTGCATCTGCATTTACACGCGCATGCTTAAGCTCACGATCACACACGATCACACACACACACACACACACACACTACTGAACTGTTCTTACATAGCTTATCTTCATCTTCGAATGAGACGTCATTTATAACATTAAGGCAGGTCTTTGGTGCTCACCGTTTGGTCCCCCATCCACGGTCCAGAGAGCCAGCAGCCCATCGTCACGGCAACGGAGGACGGCTGCCTTGGCTCCTGCAAAAATCAACGATGCTGCTGCTTCCTCCAGCAGATCGTTTCCTCCTCCTCCTCTTCCTCCTCCTCCTCCTCCTCCTCACCCTCTCCTCAGTTTGCGCTTCACTATCACTCTCTCCTCAGCATCTGTCCTCACAATCCTCCCTTCTTCTTCTTCTCTTCCTAATTTCAGTCTCTTTCTTTTTTCTTCTATTTCTTAAGCGTCTCTATTCTCTCCCCTCCCCCCCTTCACAGCTCCAGGTTTTAGCATCCTGCACTCACCCACACATACACTCATGCATGCATTCAGCTTTGCAAACATAAAAATATGCGCAGGCTGACGTTCAGAGATGGTGAGGGAAACACACGCAGTCACAAGGTGAGGATGGTGCCTGATTGGTGGCCTGCTAAGGATCATCAGCCAATCAGAGGCAGTGGTCTCCCTCTGGATATCTTCCTCCCTGACTGAAACTCCTCATGAAGCTTCGACGTGTGCAGGAGGGGAGCCTGTGCTGCATCGATACACACAGTAACAGAGGAAACACACCATCCATCTTACAGCTATCCCCCAGGATCCTCCGGCAGATGCTGCGCAAGGGTCGCTGGGAGATGTAGTCCTTCATGTCTAACAGAGGTCTCCTCCTTCAGATTGTGTTCAGTATTATGGAGAACTTCAGTACACACAAAAAAGAGTGATCAGAACTGAACCCGAGGATAGTCCGTGATCTAAACGGACCTGTGGAGCCTTGATACTATATAAGGGTGCTTTCACACTGATATTATAGTATAGATCCATTGTTTTCAACACATGAAGTGGACCAAATAACTGTGTTTACATTTAAAACATGATTTTTTTTTTTTTAAATGGACTAGCAATGAGCCAAGAAATCTTTAGGCCAAAAATAATTACCAGGCAGCAAGGGCAGCCTGCTAAAATGATAACATTTCTCTGCAGCCGGGAGGTGTGTTCATGTGTTTAATGCCGGTAAAAAAAGAATATAATAACAGGTCAACAGTCGTCACAGTACTCTGTTAACTGATTGGCGTGATGGTATTTGCTGGCCGCGATTTGTAGCTGAATGCCGCAGGCCGCACTTCGCCACCACTCTTTTGGTTTTTGCATTAAGAAACTGTCAGATGGTATAAACCGTTACGTTCACGACTACAGGGATAAAGAAATTGATGCTTTGTAGGAATTATAGCAGGTGTTAATGACTGATTCAAAAGCACTTTCTGCTAATGAGTCTGCAACAACAATCACAATAAAACAGTGAAGCTCATTTGATCTATAATCTTTTTTCAGTTAAATGCACTTCTTATTGTGCAACTTGCCAGAATGTTTACACAGCCAACATATCAACTATTCTTGACGACGTGAAACACTAATGTACAATATTGATCATATGTCAACTGTAGGGTCATTCAATTTTCCTCAAGGTTGAAATGTATGTGACACATGTAAATATTTAAAACCTTTTTCCAGGGTTCTCATTTTAGATGAATCAACTGGAAACACAGAAAAAGTCAGATGGAGACTGAGTCTTCAAACTATTTATCATTTTAGCCAACAAAACCCATGATGGATGGCTACAAGTGAGGAGCGGCTTTTGTGTTTTGGTGTCTGCCCTATTTTGCTTTTCGGAGATTTCCTAGAATCCACTTTAAAGAGGCCCTATGGGATTTTCCCTTTCCTGTGGTGTGTTTATATAGGTTTTTGTGCATGTAAATTGTCTGCTAAGGCTAAAATCCCAAAGTACCCTCCAGAGGGAGTTTCTTTCCCACACAGTCCCCCCCTGCCTGAGGCGCCTCCATTGCAATCCCTTGTTTAAGAAGGCGCGGTCTCCCATGATTGCCATTTTTGTCCCATGGAACAGCAAGGAGATTGGAGCTGGCTGACCTGAGTGTGCGTAAAGTTTTTAGTTAGGTAAGTGGGGCCAGTCTGGTTGATGGCTTTGTAGACCATTATGAGTACTTTGTAGGTGATCTGGTAGGTTACAGGGAGCCAGTGCAGTGAGTGAGTGAAGGAAGTGAGAATCTGGCACTGTAGAACATATTGCAGAACAGTACTTCCGTAACATAACTACTTCACTATGTAACACTCGAAAACCCTATTGGCTAGCACTTTAACACATTGTACACGACAGGCTAAGGTGCAGGACATTCCTGAAAAAATCTCTGAGCGGTTGACCAATCACAACAGAGCCGACCAGCTAACCAATCAGAGCAGACTAGGCTGGTTTCAGACAGAGGGTGAAAAGAGGTGCTGCAGCACAGACAGTATGAGAAAAATAAAGACGTTTTTGAACATTAATGCATGGAAAAATGTCACAGCAGAGTAACAAAATACAAATATGAACCTGAAAATTAGCATAATATGTCCTCTTTAATCGGTTTTCTCAACACCGAAGAAGTCTAAATACCATCAATTTATCGTAAAGGTTGCACCATGAAGTTAAATTGCACGTCTTGTTCGGCCTTCTAATATCACTTTAATAACTATATAATCTTAATCCTCATCGCTAAAGCACAAAGAAAGAAAAACATTGTAATAAAAACATTAAAGACCATGATGTAGCCAATTGCATTGGTTGAGATCTGTCCACTTGGGTAAGATAGGGTCTCTCTCTCACTGTGTGTTACAGTCATAGCAACAGTAACGAAGGAGGGCGGGGCTTAGGAAATGGTCAATTGAGAGTACTCGGTTCACAAATAGGGAGTTTAAACTCTCCTCTTCAGCTTGCTGTGTTTGTACTTGGTGACTTCTAATGCAGAAAGGTTCATATCTGTCTGTGAGTATCACAGGGGACATCCTGCCCACCTCAGTGTGAACACAGCGCACACTCTGATTGGACAGCGGTCCGAGTCCTGCTACAGGGCCTCCTGAGAGGACACTGCAGCAGAGGACAGTCAGAATCATGAGAGTTTTACAGCCGCTCCAATGCTCTGCAGTAACACATGTACTGCATGTAGGCTTCATTTTCTCTGATTCACTCAGTGACCCTGCTTTGACTGTTTGGTCGTTATGGCAACCAACTTGCCTGCCAAATATGTTTGTGTTGCTCATTCAATGAATTATCTTATCTAAGACGTGCAGAGCCGACCTGCCACTGTGAGGGACAGTGGTGATACTGTGGTGCTGCAGATGTTCGTGATGTGTCTTACTGCTGCTGCTGATGATGATGGGTGCATCTGGATGCTTGTCGCTGAGCTCTGCCATTTCTGTTCTGAAGTACGGAGGCAGAGAGAGAGTGAGCATGTGTCAGTGTTACACACACACACACACACACACACACACACACACACACACACACACACACACACACACACTGTATAGAGCCTCCGCTGCGACACACAGACCTGTATGTGTCTAAAAATGGAAAGCAGTCTTGCTGTTGCTGAGAATCCACAAGACGCTTCTATATGAGAAGAGAACATACAGAGATTCATATTAACATCTATCTGCCATTGAAATGACACATGGATAAAAACAGATTACATGACAGATGATATAAGATGATAACTAATTAATTATCTTCTCTATCTTTTTATAAAAATAAAGGCATGGTCAATTTTACTGGAAATGATCCCCTCACTTCTTAACATTCAACGATTGCATGGGGCTCGTGGCTATGAAGTATGTTAAAATGATGCTATGGAGTACAAACACAAAATACGCTAAGAAAAGGGAGGATATAGGAGTTTTGGAGGTTGGAGGAGGTTGCCAGGCAACCAGCAGAGACCCCAAGAAGGTGCCGCACCTGGACAAAAAATAGTCACGGACATTAAACCCCTGTAAAACAATAACATGCTATTATTACAATGTGTTTTCTGTACGGATTAAACAACATATAACGTGATAATTAGTTCACTTTAAATATGCTTTCATTTTTTGTGAGTAAGCTTTGCTCTGTACATTGCCCATATTCCCTGAACCTCATACTTTTGCACATTCCTTGGTCAATATATCTGCCAAATAATGAACATCTCTTTTATTTTAAAAACTGAAATATTGTGAGGATTGCATATTTTATTTATATATTTATGAGCAATATTTTATTTGTATTTCTTGACTCAGTTTGAAAGGTATTTCCCCCTTTCCAGTCTTTTGTGATAAGATAAGATAACCTTCCACTTGTAGCCAATGGTTTATCATAAGATAAGAGAGTAATATAAGAAATATATATATATATATATTATATTTGTTTATAATTGTATTGCTTTTCATGTTGTTAATACAGAAAAATCAAACGTGTGTCAGTGAAGTATATCACATTTGGTACACGTTATCCCTTCTAATTCTAGTAGTATCTTTGTGTTGGGTTTTATATAAAAATCCACTTTTTCAGAATAAAGGCTGATATTCAGATTTTAAGAATATGTGTTTCTGTTAATATCCTATCTTCAGCAATGTCCTGCTAGTGTTTTAGAGAAGGCTATAGTCCTCTCTGTACGATTTCCTTTTTTGTTGATTAATGCTAATAGAACTTTAATAACATAACTGCCAGGCTGTTGTATATTTTCCTGCGTCAGAGTGCCTAAATATAGCACAAGGCTATGGTCCTTAAGGGATGCCCCATTGTTATTGGTTTGTCCTGATCAACCCCTGCAGAGGGAGTTTTAGATCCTACAAAAGATACCAAGTCTCTTTTGTTGAAGGGAGGTTACTAGCCTCAATTTGCAGATGTGTTTTCGGCACCTTAGCACTTTATGCATGTAGTATTTTCGGCATTATTTTACATTTTAAATTGGCTCAGATTAGTACCGTTTGTCCTTGTCATCTGTCTAGGTTGTTGTATTCAAGGTTGTCGTTTTTTTATTGTTAAATGTGTTTGTATACCTGGTGACAACTACATTTCCTTGGTTGGATGTTCTCATACACAAAAAAAGAGATGAATCTGCTCAGTACCAAAACCTGATAAAATCCTGAAATCACTCTACGGACAATGCTCTTGTATGCGTTACACAGTATCACAATCATTTCATTTGGGAATCCTGTTGAATCCCTTTCTTGCAGGGAAAAAAATATATTGAGTCTTTAAGTCATATTTTTTATTAAAACCGTAAAAATTCCACACCGAACTCTCCTCTCATCTAAACGACTTGGCTCGTTTCCTCTCTATTGCACGTTTAGTACGGTTTGTCTCCAACAGGGACCTGTACAGCAACCAGGTCAGCGCATGGTCGCCTGTGATTGGTCGGACTATCAGAGCCGCTCTCTGATTGGTCAGATTGTCAGCGGCACCGGAGCGGGCGGAACAACACACTTTTATCCCATCCTGACAACTTCAT